TTTGTGTTTGTTTTTGAACTTTCTAAAAAGAGAAGTATTTTGGCTAAGCAGTTACTTAATTTTGAATGATTATAACTTTTATAAGAAAATATTTATTTCACTATGATCCTGTAAAAACAAAGCAACCTAACTGATTTAGCGCTATCGATAGTTTTGTTTTCTTCGAAACTATCGTGAATATTGACAGTTTTTCTGAAAACTATCAAAACTATCGATGGTGTGACTATCGATAGTTTCACACCTCTAGTAGAAATCGATAAAGTGGTTACCGAGATACAACCTGTAGGCATAGAGTGGGCGGTGCCAGTTACTGAAATATCGGAGTTTTCGTATGTTTGAAATTTACCGTTATACGGGAAAAGGGTGTAATTTTAGTCCGATTTGAATAATTTTCAACGAATTGCTTTTCCGTACCAAGGTTATTAAGTGCACTGAGTTTGGTAGAAATTTATAAATCGGTTACGGAGATACACATTTGTGGTCATAAGGGGGCGCCGTCGCGCCCATCATCCAAAAATTAATAATAATATAATTTTCTGCTAAGTGGCAATAATCCATTCAAGTGAACTAGCTTCAATAGTTACTGATTTATGTAGGTTTTCGTGTTTCTGTAAACTACCGTATATGGTAGGTGGGTGTGGTTATTCCCGATTTCAAAATTTTCAACAGATTCCTTTGCTATGCTCTAGGCAAGGCTCGTACCAAGGTTGGTAAGGATTGGTGAAGCGGCTACTGAGATACAGCACCCATTACACCCATTTTCCAAAAATTTCATAACAATATTATTTTTTAACAAAATTGTAATTCACATACTAATTTTCAACAATTTGGATCCAATATTTACTGAAATATCGTAGTTCTTGGATTTTGCGAAAAATACCGTTTTATGCAAAGTGGGCGTGGTTACAGTCCGATTTCGCCCATTTTCAATGCCAATCTACCTTGGATAAAGGGCAACATACCACATTTCGTTGAGATATCCCAATTTTTTCTCAAGTTATCGTGTACGCGGATGGCCGGACGTACGAACAGACAGATATGGCTTAATCGACTTCACTTTTCATTCTGAGCATTTAGCACCATCAAAAGTCCTCTTTGGAGGTTTTCGAGTACAAGAAATATAAATGTGCAATATATTTTCAATAATTCCAAGTGAAATATTGTAAAATCATTTGCCCAGATTTACTTACTTCATTCATATTTATTTAATTTTTGTTCAATGACATTATATTTTCAAACTATTAGATGCCTCAAGTTGTGTTTTAGAAGATAAAAGTTACGAGATATATTGACGTGTCTTGTTTATTGTGCGATTTGGCCCGATTTCAATCCATGTATTTTTAAGATGACAAAAAATATATATCAACAAGTAATTTTTAAGCAAAAAACAAAACCGACTCCAATTCTCATGTAAAAATTTAAGATTATCGTTAATTTCTTCACGATCCAATTATCGGATTTAAACAAAATTGGTATGGAACCACCCTTGAGGGGTGAAAAAAAATCGAAATCGGTTAACGTGGTCCAAAGTTACGCGGTAACATACATAAAGAAAAACATATTCCGACGAACTGATAACCTCCTCCTTTTTTTGAAGTCAGTTAAAAAAAAACTCACTGGGTGGCGCACAGTGTGGAAAATTCACTATTTTTGTGAAAAACAGAGACGAAATAAATTTAACAGTCTATTAAGTCTCCTGAGATGGAGAATTCAGAAAAAATTGTCCGTTTCGTTAAAAAATCTTCAAAAGCAAAGAGTTTGGTTTTTTTCCTTTTTTGACCGGAAAACAGTATCCAATGAAATTTTAGTTCTTTACATTCTGTTTCAGGTAAAAAAAAGTACAAAATTCAAAAATGTGGTAGGTTTTAGGTCAGGATAATTATTTATTCTATCAGCATTCGTAACACTGTACAGCACTTGGATGGGTATTGGACCAAAACAACTTTTTTTTTTAATAGACTGAGTCATAATTAAAAAAAAACTGATTTTCCATTTTTCGAAGTAAGCCTAGGAAATCAAGATATGGGTCTTTGAAGCTCGAAATTGGGCCTATAATAAAAAATTATTTTTAATTATTATTGTGTGTGAAAAACATAAAAATGTATAGACATAGTTCGCCTTTTGCTCTTATTTAAACAGTATATAACTTTTTTTTGCAAACTTATATAACAGGTGCTATAAGGGGTCAAAGGTCAGTTCCTCAAAAGCTTAAAAACCTTATATTTCAAACAATTTTTAACTCATTTTTAAAAAATTGGTATCGTTGTGAGTGTTACTAGAACCCCTTTCTTCTGATATGTATGTATATTTGTGTACCAGCATCTTAAGACAAAATTTTGGTATGCAGTTTTGTAGCAAATTAAATTAACTGGTCAAATGCCATATTTATCAACTTTGATAAAAATGTCTTTAAAATATTATTTCTTAAGCTATATAACCGTGCTATCAATGGGCAGCCATACAAGTTCTCACTTCTACTTGACCTTTGACGTACGTCAAAGAGAACATAGTCCTTTTAACAATATTTTTTTTTCTGTGCTTTAAACACCTGCTTTGGCTTTTTTCTTTATTATAATTTTTTTGGACCAATCTTAAAAAAAACTACTAGACACAAAAGAAAATGTGCACTATAATTCTGAACAAAATTTTCGTGATTTGCTTTTGATGTTATACGCGGCATACGCGGTACGTCTGACTCGTGAGTCGGTTTGGATGTGTTTGTGAAAATAAATATGTGTTAGTTACACCAACATGCCCTGTAAAAAATTGAGCGACTAATCTCTAAAGAGAGTATTCCGAGATTACTCTCAATCGGGTACAATTGGGCATTAATTAGTCGCAACTAGTCTCATACGGGTACTAATGGAGGTCAATTAGTCTCGACTCATCCCTTATGCGTATAATTGGAGATCAACTAGTCCCCAACTCATCTCTAACGGGTACTATTAACGATTTAATGATATGTACGCACTTAGTCAATAAAATTTCATGTGCGGCGTTGGCACACAGAGAGGGTATTCGCCTAACAAAACTGAGCAACCCGGTTCGAATCTCAGCTGGCGCAAATTTTTATTTTTGTTTTTTAAAAGTGACTAGTCGCTTTTTATACCCTTTCGGGTACAAAGGTGAACAATTAGTCTCTTCATAGGACATGCTCGAACAAAAGCGATCAGTTCATTCCATATAAAGGGACCAAAAGTGGTATTAGTCGCATGCTCCTTTGCGATTGCTCCCGGAGTCATCTCGGATTAGTCCCATTTTTTGCAGGGTGACTACCGGCATGACTCTGAATGATTCAACTGTGTGTAGTCGAAGGCGAGTCAACACGTACACAAGTGACTCGCGAGTCAGACGTACCGCGTATGCCACCTGTTACATTTATTCGTTTGAATAATTTCAAATGGGGCTCTTTGGGGAATTTATTTTTAGGATCAATTTTTAAAACACTAGTTTTGTTTACTTGTTGGATAATATTTTTTTCATAGGGATATATGTATGTACATTGGATCCTTGGCTAAAAACTTATGTGGTAAAACTGTCCCTTCTTTGCTATTTAAAGTCAATGAGTAAGCTCCTTCAATAGGGGTTTCCAGTGGAAATGATCAACGCCTAGCTATAAAGATAATCGATGCTCAGATAATTAAAAAGCTATAGGTCTGACCTTTAATTAGATAGGAATTACGTAACTATCTGTTATTCAAATGCTTATAAAAAAACGGGGTGCTTTAAAAGAAATAACAATATTCTGATGCGATTCGGCTGGCAGCCACGACTATGAAAACAGAATTTTGTTCAAAAATAATAATCTATTTTCCATATCCACCTATTTAGCCCGCTATAAGCGCGCGAATAGCAAACCGGCATTTAAATATCTGCATACATACATATGCATACCTAACCAATTATGCATGTATGCTGAATTCGCCGACAAGCTTTTTTAAAAACGAAGTAAATCAGTACAAATTGTTAGTAATCTTCATTAGAGTTTGATTAACTCCTTTCACTAAATGACTTTTAGTAACTTTAACGAGACAACTTATTTTATTTTATTCATTTTAGTGCAGTTTTGACAAAATTGTCTTAGTAAAAAATCTTTTGTTACACTACTTAAATTATTCCTTTGATTGTACATGTTAAATAAAAGCTTGTTTTTAAAAAATATTTTTTCTTTCATTATTTTATTTTCTAATTTTTAGTCCATTTATAAAAGCGTTGTATATTAAAAAGTGTTATTTTATTTTATGTACAAAATTTTGCAATAGATATTAAAATAAATCAACTTGCAATGAAAGAGAACAGAAGACTTCCCTGCAAGACGTGCCTAACCGAAACACCAACACAATCACATAAACTGACAACCCAAAGCCACTTGTCAAGTTTTCGCTTTTCTTCATTTCTCCAATTTTTACTTCTTCCACTTTGTTCTTCCATAAGACATTCGATGAAGGAAAGAGAGCACAATACTGTCTTAAAGCAATAGAGAAACGTCAATAAAATAAATTGTCAAATGATTGGCACATGGTTGCAACATAACCTCAATATTTCTTGGAAGTTGTATATAAAACGCCGTGGATTTTTAACAAAATAGGAAAAACTTAACATAAAGCCGAAATTTAAAG